CACGCACGGCAGAGGAGTTCAAGTCACAAAGTTCGTCTCTGGAGAGAGATGGGGCCCGGAGTCGTCTGGTTCTCGCAAGCGTAGCAGAGCCGGGAGAATCAACTGACACGCAGGGCCTACAAATACTACTGGATACACAATATTGCATTATCAGTAGTGGCGAACCGTGACCTGCAAGTGGATGCATAGGTAGGCAGATATGGATAGGCAAATGCGAATATACCCACCACCATACATAGGTTTGGCAGACAGTATTCCTACACATGTATTTTTGTGTAGTATAAAAATGTCCATTTGCAGTTTAAATGTAACAGGAGGCAAAGTGAGGATAACTTATTGGCCACAAATAAGCACCTTAAGGGACTGGGTCACTGAGCCTGTGGGCTGGAGACTATGGTTGCAGGGGACATCAAGCTCAATTGGCACAACATGGCACACAAACGTATTGTTCTACATCTCACTCCGGTGAGTAGCAGCTGGGATCTTGAAACCTTGTGAGTGGCTATCTAAGTGGCAAATAATGGTCTCTCCTCATCCAGAGCAAAGAAAAGTGAAGAAAATCAAAGACACATAGAAATAGTCTAAAAGATTATGGACCATGAAAGCCTCAACCTATATGACCCTGAGACCAGAAGAACAAGATGGTTCCTGGCTACCAAAGCCAACCACTCGGAAAGGGATCAAAATTGGATATCCCTTATAGAGTGGGAGAAAATGTGGAACACAACTCAAAATCATTTAAAAAAAAAAAATCTGGCTTACTGATCTGATAGAGATTGTTGAAACTCCCACAACTGAAACTGTGGCCCCAAGTTACCATTCGAGCCTGGAATTGAACTCCTTTCTGTAGCTTAACTCTCAGCCAAACAGTAGGGCTACAAGCTGAACACCTACACCAGGGAGATGCACTCCTTACAACAGTCAACCATGGAGGATCAGGAGGGTAGCATTTTCACAGGGAGAAATGTAGGGAGGCAGGAATGCGTAAGCAAGAAGGATATAAGAAAGGGGTAACCACAGGGAGGAAGAGGGAGGTGAGATGTTACACTGTGGGGAATGTAACCAGTGGCACAAGATAAAATGTGTATCAACTGTTAAAATAAATATGCTTTGTAAAATTTCACCCAAATCACAATAAAGAGTTAAAAAAAAAAAAAAGAAAAGAGAGATATCTTTTAATTGTCATGTGCCCCAAAGCTGTTTCATCAAAGGGCATTAGCATCCGTTGACCTTCGCTTGAACAATTACTATGTTGGTGGCTACAAAGTGATGATTTTCTATATCTGTGATGGTGTAATGGATAAGGCACTTACTTCACTGCTAACCAGAAAGTCAGTGGTTCAAACCCACCAGCTGCTCTGCAGAAGGAAGATGGGGCAATCTTCGTCCATAAAGATTTACAGGCTCAGAAACCCAATGGGGGTCACTATGAGTCGGAATTGACTCATTGGCAGTGAGGTTTTTTTTTTTTTTTTTAATCATCCTTTCTACCTTTATTGGCTAACATTATTCTACAAGGGGGAAAAAAAAAATTGTTTTCTATTTTCCCTGATGGTTACCATCATATCCACCTTAACTGTGAGTTGAGCTAGTGAGGTGATACTGCCCAGTCTTTGTCCATTGATGACTTATCCTTCCACTTTGCCATTTCACCCTTCTTTTACTGTCATGTTGAACCTGGTACCTTTATTAAGGGAGCTTGAAAATTTCTGATTTGTGCCCTGGAATTCATTTTGTTGCTTCTTTCTAAGCCTACTCTGGGTTTTGGCCTTGTGGAGGGAGGGCACACTACATGTAACCTCCTCTCTTCCCTATGTGCCTCCCCTTCTGGGTCTGATTTCTGAATACAGAAAGAGGTATATTTTATTTCCCCTTCCTGTGTAGATGGGACTTCCTTCATATCATCGTTTCTCCATTCTTGAGGGGATATTTGCTCTCTCTATCCTTTGAGAAATAATGTAGAAAGAAATTGGATTATAGAGAAGAGAAAAACTTTGAGAGAATTTTTTATACTATGTATTATTGTCACATGGGTTTAAACATTATCCTCTTTAGTTCAACAACATCTCAGAAACTGCTGAGAGAGAGAACCAGGAAAGAGTGAGCATTTACTGAGGGGAGCCTGGGTGTATCCAAACAAAACAAATAAATAAAATTCAAATTTACAAAGACTCTTTTAGACTGGAAGAAACTGAGAGATTTTTAATAGACAATTCTGGCTCCATTCTTTCTTCTATCCCACTCTACCCCAAGATCTTGGCAGCATGATTAATTAGGACCAGTGAGAAAATTCATTTCCATTGTAGAAATTACATAAAATTAGGTAAAATTGTTTTTTTCCTTAGAGTATTATGTTAAAATATTTATCCCCTTGCATGTGTTTTTCGTGACATGCTTTTGCTTGTAAATCATCCTATGAGCTGATTAGCTTAACTTTAAATGGGGCAATGGTTTTCCAGTTTGCCATATTTCTCACCCATATTCACTTGGAAATTGTTAGAGGAGAGCCAAAGCATGTCTAAGAAAGAAGACAGATTCTGTGTTCCACTATCCTTGGGGAAAATTTTAGTAATATGACTGTAAATTTGTATAGCAGAATAACAGTAAAAAATTAGCTTGTAGGTTTTCTTTATGGATCACGGCTAATTCATAATCTCACCTCCACTGAAAAGTAACATTTAAATATTTCTGCAGTTTAAAGATGGAACCAAAGACTAAGGGATTAAAACAGCAGCAACAGCAACATAAGAAACTCCTGGCGGCAATGCTGTCTCAAGATTCTTTTGAGTCCATCCACAGCCCTACCCCATCTGTAACAGAAGAAGATATTGATAATGAAGATGATGCAATGGAATTGCTGGGTAATTTTAAAAATTAATCATTTCTATTATTTTCTTCCGTGGTATTGTAACAATGTGTAGTGGTTAAGAGATTCTAAAAAGTTTTCTTTGTTTTTAGAGGGAAGACACATTTAAGACATACGTTATTTACATTAGACCTTCATGAAGTTGCATGTAAGAACTAAGGTCAATTTCAAATAATCTAAGCATGTGAAATATTTATTAGACTGTAGTTTGTGCATTGTATATGCAGCACTTTGCAACTTTGCATTATGATTATTTAATCAAGCTTTATCTGTGTGCAAATGTGATAAAAATTCAAGCCTGCCTGCTTTATTCTTTGATTATAATTGCCTTGATCACATCTATTGTCTATAAAATGTATCCAAAGTACATATTCACTGCTCATCCTAAGATGTCCCTTATGTTATTTCAATGATGCTTCAGGAAAAGAGAATAAAATTTAAAGTGGTAGATAGTAAATTAATGTTTTATGTCTTCCATAAATGATGGGAAAGTTTGCAGAGATTTCAAATTTTTTACAGGAACATTAGTTTCATAAAAATCTTATTATGTTGCATATGCAGGAAATATTTTTATGTCTTTGAGTGAAGGAAATGTATTTTTTAGTTTATCAGAAATATCTTAATAGTAAAGTTATTAATTGGACTTCCCCCTTGGGAACAATTTTTATAAAAGAAGGAAACATTTTATTTCAGAGAGAACGATCCACATAAAACACAATGTTTTCAAATTGAACTCAGTTATTTATCAATAATTTGAACAATTTTCAAATAATTGGCAACAATATATTATTGTGTTTTAATGGAAAGGAAATCATTTAATCATTTGAAAACTTCAAATAAGTTTAACTTTGAGTTCCAGAAAAATGAAGACATATTCTAGATATACTTTTTTCCCCTCCTTAACCAGATTCCTTGGTTTTAAAGGTTAATGGCAGTAAAATTCGGTCATTATAATAAATGGTGTATTTCTCAATCCACAGGCCTACTGGTCAATGATGAAATGTTCCCTGATATTTTCTATGGCATAATAACCGCATTCATTCTTATGTTAAGGAGACTATACTAAAGCATTTGTTTTGTAGCAATTAAGTGCGGGTGTTTTTTAAGGGTTCATTCACTCCATCTTAAGAATGAATGTGGAACATGTGCCAGATGGGGCACATTCAATTTACATTCCACAAACACTGAGCACTTTATACATGCTAGGCATTGTGCTCCATCCTGGGGATGTACTAAATAAATAAATGATCGTGCTCTCTGCAGGAATTTTACTTTCTAGTGTTCCATGTAGAATGTAAATATATCACGCTAAGTGTTTGCTGCAGTGCTAATAGGATTCAGCACACAGTGTTCACAGGAATAGCACCTAATGCAGGAACAGTGATTAGGGGACGCTTCCTAGAACAGTTGATTCCTCAGATGAGTCCTAAAGGACAAGTAGATGTCAGCTCAAAAGACACAGTGCAATAACCCTGGTGGCGTAATGCCTAAGGCATTTGACTACTAACCAGAAGACTGGAGGTTCAAACCCACCAGCCACTCCTTGGAAGGAAGGTTGGTCAATCTACTTCCTTAGCAATACCGCCTCTGAAACACAAGGAGGGGTCGCTATGTGTTGGATCCCACTTGACGGCAGTGAGTTTGGTTTTTAGGTTTACTCAGGTAGGTAGGTAGGTATGATCTGTGACAATTGCACTCCTTGACTGTGCTTGTAAACCTCCTCTGAGTTGGTCAGTGACAGTTGGAAAATCTTAAGCGGTGACCATCAGTGATGTTTTGCTTTATTACCATTGGCTTATGCTAATAGTTTCCTTTCTCCCTCCTTCATTATAAATGAAAGCAACTGTTCTTTGTCTTGTAAATATGATCTTTTTAAGAAATCTAGGCATGCTAAGAATCACATTGGGAAATATCCTGATAGCCTCGGGAATCTCTAGGCTACTTGGAGGAAGCCTTATAACTTCAGTGATATCGAGGGATTCTTTGAGGAGACTCAGGTATACTAGTGCTAGTTTTTAAGCTCCCAAGCAGAAGACTGCAGGAATGGATTTAGGAAGCTATCTAATGATGAGAAATTAATAACTCATCTCTATTCCATTTATTACCTTTTCATTTAGATATCTTAGTCTGTGGTTTAAGGAAATTGAAGAATGAGAGATGAGTGGAGAGCTGGACTCTGTTAATCCAGTAGATTTTAGCACAGTTGGGTGTTGGTGTTGACATGCTAGTTCTTAGGTTCTGAGGTTTCTCTGTGACAACATGGAATGCTCCAAGTCCACTGGGCTATCACGTACAATATTGCCATATACAAGTTGCCATGGAGCCCACTTGTTTCAGTGAATAAAAGTCATATACCAGAAAATTCTCTCTAAAACATTATTTTGCTAAGAACTCATGATTCTTTGTATGTGGTATGTATTTGTCTCCAATGTCGAAATACTCTTGTATGTGTGTATATATATATGTTGTTGTTGTTGTTATGTGCCGTCGAGTCGGACCCGACTCATAGCAACCCCTCCTTGGGTTTCTGAGGCAGTATCACTATAGAAGTAGATTGCCCCATCTTCCTTCTGAGGAGTGGCTGGTGGGTTTGAACCGCCAGCCTTCTGGTAGCAGTCAAGTGCCTTAGCCACTATGCTACCAGAGCTCCTCCATGTGTGTGTGTGTGTGTGTGTGTGTGTGTATGCATCTATTGCTCTCGGAACTGGAAACTGACTGAACGGAGCCCTGTCTGGGAGCTGAGCTGGCAGTCTCCCTGGTCCTGAATATTGACTTTGTATCTGAAGCTTCTGGAACTTCTCTGCTTACTGAGATATAACTTGGCTCAAACCACACTGTGTATAGTATATAGTACACAGGTACTTACACCAAGTCAAAATTACTGGAATGTTTTGGAAAAACAAATTTGAACTACAGTAGGATTATATCTAGCAAGATGCAGCTTCTGTAAAAGTTGATACCCGTCTCAAAGCCTCTAAACCTGTCTTTGCATAAACAAAGTGAGGTGTGGAAAGCAGATGTGTCTTGGCAGGTGAAAGCCATCCCCAAAATGGAGATATATGACTCCGAGGCCTCTCGTCAGAAGTTCAGACAGTTCCAGTATTTGGAAGTGGCTGGGGCTTATGAATCCCTAAGCCAACTCTGAGAGCTCTGCCTTCAGTGGCTGAGACCAGAGATTCATACAAAGAATCAGATCCTAGAGTTATTGGTGCTAGAACAGTTTCTAAAAATCCTCCCTGAAGAGGTCAGGATTTGGGTAAAATTACAGCATCCAGCAAAGAGGTGGTGACCCTCATGGAGGATGTGATTGAAATGCTGAAAGATAAAAATCTACCTTGTAAGGCTTCTGTCCTTCAGAAGGGGAGCATAAAGAAGGAGGAAATGGAAGCTGATTCAATAATAGGCAAATCCCAGGAACCAGTCACATTCAAACATGTGGTTGTGGAATTCAGTGAGGAAGAGTGGGGACAGCTGGATCCTGCTATAAAGAACCTGTACAAGGATGTGATGCTGGAGAACTATAGGCACCTGAATTCATTACATAAAGACAGGGACACTATTTCAGAAAATCAAGTTTCAGTTCCAAAGAACAGGATTTCTGGAGAAAAATCATCCCATGAAGTGATGATGAGAAGTAGACTCTCTTCCTTAAATGTCTGGAAAGATGATGATTGGTTATACAGAAACCAGGAAAATCGGGACATATATTTGCCACAAGAGACTTTCATTCATAAGGCAATCCACATTGAGAAAAGAGAATATAAATGTGCTGAATATGAAAAAAGCTTTAATGTTAAGTCAGTTAGCTCAATTTGTGATATGCAACAGGGAATTCCTATGAGAAAGGGATCCCCAAAGTGTGACAGATTTAAAACCAACTTCAAATTTAATTTATACTCAATAGATAAGCAATATGCAGAATATAATAAATGGGGGAAAACATTGAACCAGCGTACAGATATTATTCAACACCAAGAAACTCATATCAAGATGAATTCCTATGAATGTTTTCAATGTGGGAAAGCCTTCAGCTGAAGTTCATCCCTTATTTGACATCAGATCATTCACACAGTAGAAAAACCATATAAATGCAGTGAATGTGGAAGATTTTTCAACCGATGTACAAACCTTACTAAACATCAGAAAATTCACAGTGACACAAAGATTGATAAAAGTAATAGATGTGGAAACACCTTCAGTAATACTAAAGACTATAATAAAAACCAATACTACATTCTAGAGATAATCCCTATGAATGTGTTAAGTGTGGAAAATCCTTCAATCGGAGCTCCTCCCTTATTCGACATCAAATGATTCATACAGGAGAGAAACCATTCAAATGTAAGGAATGTGAAAAACCTTCAATAGGAGTTCAAACCTTATTAAACACCAAAAACTTCATACTTGAGAGAAGTATTGTGAAAGAAAGCAATGCAAGAGTGCCTCCACTCAGAGTGCAGAAGTCATTCAAATTCCATGAGTTAATTCTAGAAGGAATCCTGTGATTATAGAAAATGTTTTCCAGAGATAATTCTTTAACAAGTATGGTAATTAATATTGGAGAAAAGTCTGTTATGGGATAGAAATCTATTTGGGGAAGCTATTCCAGGCTCCAAAATTAAGCCGCAAGGGTCTACAGTTAAAACATACACTATACATTATATTATTATTATTACTATTATATCCATTATCCTCACTTTTCCTTAGTTGATACATGGGATGTATATTATAGTCATATTCACCTGATCTGTTAATGAAGTAGACATTAGGGAGAAGCCAAGCAATACCCTAAGAATTAATATTTAATAAAACTCAAACTTCCAGTCCTTTATAAAATGATCACAAGAAACCAAGAGTTCATGAGACTATAGAAGGACACATCTAAGAATTGAAATCTTTGAATTAAAGACAAAGTCCACAGTGACAGCCAATTATTACACCCATGATTATATCCTTGGCTGTCCTAGTACTGAGTGGAAACTAGAATCGGGAGAG